AAACTATCGTTATAATAGTTAAAAAAATCATTTATAAAGCAGAAAAAAATCATTTATCATTTATAAATCATATATATTATTACAGTTGCAAGAGATCAGAAAATTGGACATCAGTAAAAACCGATTTCATCGCTTTCGGTGGGTGGATGGACTTTTAAAAAATAGAAAGAGGATGGTGTGAGAAAAGAAAGAAAGAAATGGGAGTCGAGTACAGAAAGAAGAAAAAAATGAAACAAAGGAAAAAAAAGAACCACCCTTCCTCGTCAGATTTTTACGCTCGCGTGGCGATCGACTTTCCCTGGGAATTAATCGCAACGAAATGAACGCATTTTCCGAGCCTCCGATTTCGAAAACGATCCCTCGCCTCTCTACGAGCACTCATGCATCATGTCACGTATGCGTTCAGAGCAGCAGAAGGATGGTTTCCGTAAATTTCTCTAACTTATCCCTAACATTTTTTTTTTCATTTCATCTTTCCTCGGTCAGATGACACTCTTTTGCGAGTCGTCTTTTCCTCTCTCCTCTCCAGTTAAGTACGACGCTCTCCACTTAGTTTCTCTTCCTCTTTTCCTCATATGCAGACATATATATTTTCATCTGAAAGTAGCTTGTTGTATTGGATTTCAACGTTATGATTTATCATTAATTGTCTTCTCTGAAACTATTGTAACAAAACAAAATATTTTTAGCATTAATATTGTTGTTAAGTTGTTACCGATTGTTAAGTTACGGTTGTTAAGATGCTGTCATCTATTTCAGTCATGAGTATTGACTTAAAATGGTGTTTGTTTTCAAGCTATAATTGATTGTTATGTTTGTGGACTGTTATGTTTCAGCCACTGTTTGATTACGATTGTTATCAGTCCCAAGGAGCTTTACCTCAGAAGAGCTGCTAGTCTCGGAACGGTATTTGCGTTGAATTTCTGTAAAAGCCTGAATCGCTTTCCAAATTGTTGCCACCGCATATTACCGATCTGTATTATTTTAAGACAAATTAAATAAAGGAGAATGTGCATGAATGTGGGTATGTTTCTCGCAATGTGAGAAACCAACCGTACTTAGATCCATCAAATTTTGAATAACGTAATCCTCCACCCGAATATGAGAGCTTTTTATCGGAGATCCTTAAGATACGCTGTTTGTAAATATTTTGTGATACTGCTGTTGAACTGAATTTTAAGTGCGAAGAACATGATATTTCATAAATAAAGGTAGCACACAAAGCGTTAAAAAAAGTCCCTTTGGACGTAATATAAAATCTGAAATCTTTCAGATATTATTTTATTTTATTTAGTTTATGTTGATTCTGCTATAAATTTTGCGATTTATCATTAATTTTCTTCGACAAAACATTCAACGTACAACATTTTTAACCTTGTGATTCGTCGTTAGTTTATAGGTTTAAATTGCAGTTGAAACAGATATGGCCTCAGCTTTGTCACTGCGAGTGGAACTACTTAGCACATTTTTATCGTAAACAGACGTCTCTATAATTATACGACAGAGATGTGATTGAATTTTGTGTTATACTGGGGAAAAGTCATAATGCAATACTTGAAATGTTATGGTATGCATATGTTGATGAAACATTAAAATATGCTCCTGTCTTTCATTGAATGAGACGCTTCAAGGCGATAACTCTTGAGTGACTTAGAAAGCGAGTTCTGGCAGGTGTTTACAGTTGACTTCTGTATTTACAGATGTTTACATTTAGCACCCAAGGGTAGTGTTATCTAAGCATCTTGAAAGTGATTTGCATTTAACCATCAAGAAGCAAAGATCGAATTTGCTCAGGAAATTGTGGCTTTGCTCTAGAATTGTGCCTGGTTGCATCTTGCTGCTGTTGCATTTGCACATTGTGTGAAAATGCTCTGTCAGCATTAGAATATCCGGTATGCAGCGCAGATTTCGCAACATTGATTTTTAAACACTTTCCACATTGAAAAGATTTTCCTTCCCACTTAGGAAGTAAAATACGCCACATAGCCTAGTTCTAAGAAGAATGTAATAGAACAGTCTATTTCTTGTTTCAGAATCATTTTTAATGCAAAACCTCAGTTTTGAGATGAAGAATACGAAGTCCATAGAATTATATGAATCTGAATAATAATGAACTTTTCAGCTCGCATAGTATATCGATTTCCACAGCTCTCATTAATTTAGCCCTACAGTTAGAAGCGCAAACTGGAAATTAAAGGAAATTTAAAAATATGAAATTAATATATAGTTAATGGCAAAGCAAATCGTTCTGAATATCAGATTTTAAGTAATTAAAAACAATATTTCATTTTTTCAAACTAAGTAAGAAACAAACTATATGTAAAAAATTGTTATTGTAATGATTCATATGTGGAAAGAGTTAAATGTTTTGAAATAATTATGAAGTGACAGAAGCAGCTGAAATATTACAATGTAATTTGAATGCTATGTGCAAACTAAATTCTCGATATAGCCTCAAATACACACTTTTTATACACGATATAGCCCCGATATACACACTTTTTGAATCATTAAAACACTTCCATGTTTTATGTTTTTGCTCTGAATTATCCATAAGAATGTAGGATAGATGTTTAAAACAAATTTTGTTCTGTCCATCTGATTATCTAGATTTTTACTTATCTGAATTAAGGTAAATCCAGAAATTTTTGTATAATTTGTGCTCTGTTATACTCAAGCAAAATGCAGATACTTGTTATCTTATGCTTCTATACGTGTCTGCAAATCAATATCATATCACGTACGTTACTACATACATTTGTTTACGTAAGCTGAAAGTATTGTAAATATATATGCATGTTTAAAAATGTGTTATTTCAAAATCATTCACGATAATTTTATTTATTATTTCATTTATGGATCATCAGGTGATAAATGTATTCGTCATTTAATAGCCATATATCAAATATGTAATTGGGATAATTTCAGGATTGCATTACATTTCATAATTAGACATGTAATTAGTACAAAACCGTATCTAACTTCCACAGTCTGTTGATTTCAAGCTACCTTTTTTTTTTAACCTTGTGTCACTTTCCTTGTTCACATTGCACTCAATTTCATTCCACTGTAAAATATTTCCCTGACAAAATTTAAGAAAGTTTTGTTTCTGCCTGGCGCAGGAACATATGCTTAACACCAAATCGATGCTTAACACTAAAAATAATGATACGTATACCAGAAGTATTATAAGATACTATAAAAACTTAAAGAAATGGTCGTATAACTTAACAAAATGTAGTAGAGGTTTCTCACGTTTAACATTGGGAAAGAGTACAAAGACAGTCTCAAAACGTTTCATCAGTCACGCCTTGTACGTAGGCTGTCGTATTTTTCTAATTTGCTATGCTGTAGGTTGTTGGTTTAAATGAAAAAATATTTATTTTGTAATTTATTATTAAATACATAAAGTGCAAGAGTTTTCTTATGCTGCATAAATATTCTCCTCCTTCATCCATCCATCAAATGATTCTTCATTTTCCTGTGACACACCTGTAACCCGAATAGTCCCAGAACACGATCTCAGTCCGAAGTTTTGATAGAAAAGAATCGATAAGAAATTTATGTAATAGGTATCACTTGAATTTATATATAATTTATTGAATATCTATTAAATATGCGTTGAAAAGTGCTGATGTGTAATTTATTATTGGCAAGAGAAAAATACCTATGATCGATTAACTTTTTAATTTTCTTGTGCTACGTATCACTCAGTAATGTTGAACACAATAAATTGATAAATAAGTGTTAATCTAATATTTTACATGCATTTTATTATTTTGTTAAGAAAATTGTATCAAATGAAAAACTATATTTATTCCTTTAATATATAATAGCAGTATGCATACAATAGGCTCAGAAAGATAGATATAGGTTTTATTTCCTTAAATATTTATTTCAGAAGAGTATATATAGTTATAAAATTCCTCAAAACAAGGTTGAGAACTTTATGAATACTTTCAACATTTTGGATAGGGAATTTCTACATTATGGATAGATGGTGGTTAGAAGTATAAAAAAATCTCTTTTTATATAATCCATGTACATCATAAAATTCAAATGGTAAAATATTTATCATGTTCCAAAAATTTTAATCTAAGAAGCTGTATCTCTTTATGCAGGTTTTAATCATCTGAAAAGGATTTACTGTATATCTTTAGGTAAAAATTTCAAGAAACAATTTACAGCTTTAAATCATTTTTTAACTTTTTAACTTAGATTCAAGACTTTTAGCCAAATTTAAAGAGCAGCTGTAAAGGAGGAATTGCTTATTTTGAATCTTGATTGTTCGGTATTGGGGGAAAAAGGAATGATGCTTTGGACTGAATTTATAATTTTTATAATAAAATATAATTTTATATTTTTTAGAATTATTTCAAAATCAGTTATAAAACTTTAAATTAGAATCTTAAGATCTCAAAAAGGATTTTATCTTTAAATAAAATAATCATTTATTTTATTTACCTAGAACTAGATAATAATACCTAGAACTGCCGAATCATAAAATTAAATTTGTACTATTAAATGATAATAAAATTCAATTTTAAAAAAGATATTCCAATTTTCAAATCTCCGATGTTATTTCCTCCATTTCTTTTGAAAACATAAACTGTTATGAGCCGGAAAATATCGAAGAAGAAAATTAGAGCTTTAAAAAGATGTTTATAGTTTTAATTGAATTAAGAAAAAGGCATGAATACAGAAAGATAGTCGGTATGCTCTTCTAAAATTTCTTCCTTGCTATTAGATCTTTGGTGTTGGTGCAGATGATAGTTTCAGTGCGCTTTTGTAATATCCGTATGATCCGTAGTATCCAAAACAAGCATTAATCAAAACTTTTATCTTATCTGCATAAGAAAAATTAAATTTGCTTTAAACATTTTAAATTTCAGTATTAACTATATTTAATAGTTATTATAAAAGAAACAGTTAATTAATTTATCGATTATAGTTCACTTCCGAAATATTAGCGTTGAGAAGGATATATACTGATTACCAGGTTTTTTTTTTTTTTTTTTTTTTTTTTTTAATGGCACTAACCATTTTAGGCTTTGGCCACTACTAAGCCAGAAGCGATGGTCATTTTATTAGATGAGGCTACTGCTAAGCGGCCACCGTTAGAACTTAGGTATTGACAATTTATATCCATGCCTTCTCTTGGATTCGAACCAGGGTCATTCTGTACAGAAGATAGAATCATTACCCCTTTTCTCGCCTCGGCGACGGGATTCATTTATTAAAAAACGATATCGGCATTTCTTTGGCTAAAGTCATTCCGCGTATTTGGGATGACCGGAGTTCGAATCCTGGCGAAAACATTGCGAATTTCTTCAGTTTTCTGACTTCAGTAAATTCTAAATGACTCTGCAAATGACGCTCGACCTAAAAGGGGGTAAATAATAATTCGTCACAACCAGGATTTGACGTCTAGTTCTCCTAAACCCTAGCACCCCTTTAAAAAGAAGAAATACTTGAGGTTTTTCTCCCTTCTTTCCGTGTGCCTTCGTGTTGTAATTGGAAGCAAGCTCGACTCGTATGGGGAAGGTCTGGAGTTCGAACACGGCGAAGGCAGTGAAGATTTATTCAGCTTCCTGACATCGCTATAACTTAATGACTCTGCACATATATTGTTGGTTAAAATTAAACAGTCAGCTCCGATACTTTCCCGAGCACATCATCACAGACAAATTAATAGTTCTTTAATTTCTTTCAGTATTTATCATGTTCAATACAAAATGCAGCTTTTTTTTCCGCCATGTTTCCCATAATGATTCTTTGTAATGTGTTTCCTGAAGAACTATGGGTTGCAGAGCTTTATATTTTAAGGAGCGTTTTAACCCTTAAAAGTGAGTTTATGCAGTATTCACGTATCAGCCTGTATATATACATACAAAAGTAATAAAATGTAGTAGAAATGTTAGAAAAATTTGTGACTTTTAATGAGTTATTTCTGTCCTTGTTTCTAATTTGTTCAGAATCCTTTTATGTGTAAATATATATGTAGGTATAGATATATGTATATATAGATAGTTGTGTAGTGCGTATATATGATGCGTAGTTTGTCTGGGTGACATATGAAACTGTTAAACATAATGTCCAATTTGATATATTTATACCTTTCATGTGTTGCTATTTTTATAATGCTGTATATACTTATGCTATCTGAAATGAAATGTTTGTTAATTAAGTTATACTTTGTGTTTTATTGATTGGTTTAAATGCATGTTTATTTCGCTTTAATATTCAAAATATCAAGACAGAAATGTGAATTTCAAATATAATTAATTCTAAACGTATACTTTCGTTGTAACCTAAATTGTGATCTAAATTGTGCCAAAACGTTTATATTTAGTGAATATTCTCTCTCCCCGAAGAAAATTCTAATCTAAGGTTGATTTTATTTATTTTTGCTTTGATTTTCTTTATTTTTGTTTATTTTTGCTTTAATTTTGTTTATTTTTGCTTTAATTTTGTTTATTTTTGCTTTGATTTTGTTTATTTTTGTTTCCGATAGTAAGGATGAAATAATTATATTTTTGTTTGGTAAGATTTATATCATTTAGATTTGAAAATGATATTTTGCTTCATTTACAGAAGAAGTTCAGCAGTAAAGCAGGTGAGACATAATTAACTATTAATAATACATTACCTAAAAGACAGAGCGTCGTATTTTTTTTTAATATTTACATAAGGAGACACAATTCTTTCCAAATTGGTTGTCGATGAGCGTCTTTATTCAATGGCTTTAGAGCCTCTCGGATAACTTCCACAGCATCATTTCCCGATCCATAATGTTCTTCAATAACTGGAAGAGCTTTTGTTAACAATTCGAATTGCTTGTTGTAATCACCTAATGCACCAATCGCAAAACCTAAATCTGCCATTGCCTCTGCAACCACAATATGTTTCCGACCATAATATTTAATAAGCATAGGCATAGCACACTGAAGAAGTTCCTTTTCAGTTCGACGATCATTTCTGTCTCTGTAAGCTGAGGCTAGCCATATCATTGCTTCACATAATTCAAGAGTCTCAGAACTATGAGTACATTCTAATATTGGTAAGGCTCGTTCAAGTAAGTTTTTCATTTTTTCATATTCTTCAAGAGCGCCGTAAACCTTGCCTAAATTCAATAAAGATTTAGCGACTTCATTGTGGTCCGATCCATAAACTGTTTCGTTAATTTGTAGTGCTTTTTCGTGTAAATCTTTTTCTTTATTGCGATCGCCTTTAGCACCGTAAGTAAATGCCAAATTCGTAAGAGTGATTGCAACTTTAACATGTTCTTCACCATATTGTATTTGGAAGCAGTGCAAAGCCTTTTCTAATAGCTCTATTTCTAGATCCTTTTCTCCTAATGCTCCATACACAACACCTAAATTTGCGAAAGGTTCTCCAACTTCGAAATTATTACTGTCATAGTGCTTCTGGATAATTGGCAGTGCACGATCTACAAGTTCTTTTGCTTTAATCTCATTTTTCAAGTACATATAGCCAGCTGCCAAAGCTGCTAATTTTGTAGCTAACTCAAAATGTTCATCTCCATATTTCTTCTGTATTACAGGCAAAGCTTGTTCCAAAAGTTCAACTTGCTTCTCGTTATTTCCTAAATCCCCGAGAGCTACTCCTAAATCAAACAGAACTTCTGCAACTTTAAGGTCATCAGGTGTAAAATATTTCTCAATAATTGGTAAAGCCTTTGCTAAAATCTCTACTGCTTGTTCGCTTTTGCCTAAAAGCACATGTGTGATTCCTAATCTAACTAAAGTTTCAGCAGGTTTAATTTCATCAACATCTGGGCTACCGTCAAAAACAATAAGCGCATTTTCAAGTAGTTCTTTACTTTCATGGTAGTTTCCTAAATGAGTATGAACAAGACCTAAATAGGACGAAATGTCAGCTACTTCCAAATGGTTAGGGCCATAATGGTCCTCGTATAATCGTAAAGCATCATGTAAAAATTTACACTGCTCTTGTTCATTACGTAATTCTTTTGAATGTTGAATTAATTCTACTGCTATAGGTTCATCGTTGGAGTTATTCAAGTGTCCTAAATTAAATTTTTGGTAAAGAGTGTTAACTTTATCTATGAAAGACATTTTCACTCAAACTCTGATGCACAAAACCTAACTAAGGAAACGAAAGATATTGGTTGATTGACTGAAGATCTAGTCTAGTATAACTACAAGACACTGCTGAATCGCATTGTTGAATCTTCATCCAAGTTTCAGATGACAGAAAACTGTAATACACCGTTCATGAAGAGGAATAGATTTCTCAGATGAACCTAAATAAAATATATATTAGAAATGAGAGAACATTTTTGAAGCATAATTCAGTTATGAACATTTTTGTTTGTAAGCTTTGCTTAAAGGTATACATTTAAAGGATTAGAACCTAAAACATGTATTCATTATTTTTGAATACTTAATATGAAAATAACTCACGTGGTTATTAGGGCTATAAAACCTATTTTTAATTTTTATAAAAAAATGTAAATTATTAATATTATATTTATTGCAATACATTCTTATGCGTATTTTACAAGCCACCTCATTATTCCAATCGTTATAAAATCATTCTCCGTAATTCAGAATCTCAGTATAACAGGAAATTAAGACTACAGAAGAAATGTCCTCCCAGCAGTCGTTTATTGTACTGGCTCGGAACTGTACCTTGGCAGCCTCGGCACCGGGCGGGGTTAAGAACAAGAGCCTGGAGGTTTCCCATAATCTGTGTATGTAAGCAGGTAATCCTGACTTCGTTAACTAGACTGACCAGCAGGCCAAGGGGGAGTAACCCTGTGTTAGTCCCAGTACAGGCATCAAGCAACTTGCGTTGAACTGGCGGGCAGCATTTTGATGACCAGTCAAATCTCCAGGCGTGATATTTTCCCGCCCTCTCGATCCCTAACAGCCGAGAGTAGTGGCCCCGCACGCTCAACGCTCAGGGGTAGTAGTGGTTATACAGAAAAAAATTTAAAGTCTGCCCTTTCGGACTAGAACCCAAGGCAGTAGCATGGTTAACATACTATTTATCACTTGGAAAACTTCGACTGTGACCCGCCAGTGCCTAATATGGGGCTTGAAGCGGTCCGTGTGGTACAGAATAGGAGTAGCACGTAAAACAAACATATATACAGATTGAATGGGGGGGAATGGGTGAATTTACGGTTTGCAGAATTATGGTTGGTTTAGTTCAGAATAGGATCAGTATATAAAATCATATACACAGAAGAAATGGGAAGACGGGTGAATTTATGGTTTGCATATATGGGTTAGCATTTAGGAATTGATCTGAAAAAGGAGCTATTATTTTCATTCATTGAAAAAATAAGGAAAGGGAAGTTCCATATTGTTAATCTGGGTTTTACTGTTATTAATTTTACAATGGTTAATTATCATGTTAATTTGAATATACGATGATATTTTTTCATAAAAATGCTCTGTTACAAAAGCTATACCCAATTTATATATCTATTCTGAAATTTTTTTTAAAATGTATAAATTTAAGATTATTTCTTTAACCATTAACACTAATCTAAAAGAAAATAATTACTTAGTTTTCTTTCAGATATTTAGAAAAAACTCTTGACAGGTTTTGCACATCAGACGTTCATCACAGTGAGGACATTATAGATACACATCATTTATTTTCTTAAAAAAAAAAAAAAAAAAAAAAAAAAAAAAAATGGACAGCTTTACATTCGATTTATTATAATGCGTAATAAAAAAATCTGATGTGTACACCACATGACTTTCTTGTACGAAATATTAAATTATACGCAGTTTTTTCTGCATTTCATTTAAACCTATTGAATTGAAATAAATCTACTTCTTCGATAGCGCATAAGCCACAGTAGAATAAATGCGCTTTTTAAAATTTACTATATTTATTTACCATAGCGATACTTTGACGCTAGGTTCACTAATCAGCGTTTCTCATTCATTTTATAACTCAGAATGCAAAAAAATTATATCATCTGAAGAATTACGAATATCTAATTGTTGCCACATGCTCTACTCAAATACTATAATAAATCTAAAACGATGTATAAAAGAAATTCAACAAATAAAAAATAAACAGTTTTTCACAGACGATTCAGCGCTGGTTACCTAATGCGCATGCGCTACTCATAAACATTCTCCCCTATCCCAAACAGACTGGAAGCCCACCAGCGGCCGAGCGGTAAATTCGCTGAACACTGGTAGTTCGGTCCGAGGTTCGAATCCCGCGAACGGGCTGGCTGCATGGGTTTTTTCGTGGTTTTCCCCATGTGTAACGTGTATACGAACCAGTTTCCCTTAGAAAGTCCTCCACGAAGGCATCCCTCCCCTTAGGCAGATAGCCCTAGGGTGCTTTGCCGTAATTAAATACACCACACCACACCACCCAAACAGACTGGCGACAGTATTTTCTACTAATAAGAAACACTTATTTCCTCGAATTTCATCAGAGATGTATTTCTCATTCAATTATTTCAGGTCTCACTCAGCGGCAAGGAAAAAATGATAAAAGCACAAAATATCTTCATTAAAAATTTAAAAATATAGAAAAACATAAAACACCAAATACATTTAAAAAAAGAAAAGAAAATTTTACGATTAAAATTACAATTTCTACGCAAGAACAAGCTTGCAAGAAGACAGATTTTTCGGTGCACAAAACTGAAAATTTACTTTTGGTCTCACTTGGCAAAAAGACAGGGAAGACGCAGAAACTGATTTAATTTGTTGTGGACGCTATGCTGAATCAATGTATAGGATAATTTAAAAACTTAAATGATAATTCCAGACTGGATTAAGCATAATTTAATTCGCAATGATAAAAAAGACGTTACTTTGTTGTTGCGAAGCTTAGTTTCTCGCACTTAAACAACTTTTAAATTGTTGATAATTCTACAACTATATTATGTAGGTTAAATAAAGGCATAAAAACCTTAACCGGAAGATCAGAACAACATAATTCAATCATTTTAAAGCAAAAATGCACAATTTACAAACATATAAAAATGAAGAAACTGGGCTCACTGAGCCAAGTAACAGAGTTGATATATATATATATATATATATTTATAAATGTTTGTGGCGGCCGATTGCAAATAAAATAAGAGGTGGCGCATCTACATGTTATAGCAGTACAATATACAAAATTTCAACTTTCTGAGGTTACTCGTTGTTTTAGAGTTATGCTAGATACACACATACGTACTTACAGAGCCATGAAAAATTGTCATCAGAATCCATTTTAAATCAGTTTTATAATTCGTTCGGGGAAAAAGAGTCCTTTTATCTGATTTGCGTACAGATGTCACGAGAAAACATTGTTAAATTGCATTCGATGTCGATCAAAATGGATATTTTCGTTGGAAATATGATGCCCGAAACTTTTTGTGTTTACAATACTTCCTTTTTACTTCGTACAAAGAAGTAAAAACCATGTTTATTTAATTCATTGTAAGCTTCATTAAAATTTCTTTAGTCATACAGCGGGCTTAAAATTTCTTTCCGCAAATGCAGTTATTTAACAACTAAATCAGAAAAATATTTTTACCGACGCACTATTTGAAATCCATAATCAGATTTTACACAGCGTTGAAAAAGTTTTATAAAAAATTATACTAACGATATTTATGTGTAAACTAGCTGAAGAAATAAATTACACATTGAATTTATTAATAAAGAGGGGAAAATTGATAAAAAAATATCTTTCTTAAATATTGCACTAATTATAAGGTTATATGCTTTTTATAATGCACTTGTCTCCACAAATAAGGAGATATTAAAATAATTAGAATCATACTACGTAAAAATCTTTGAAATTAGAAAAAAAAATCTATTTGACAGTCAAGTTTAGTCAAATGCTTTGTTACGTAAATCAAAACGCTGGGACCCCCAACATCTCCTCTGCAAGTTTCAATTAGATTAGCTTGCATACAGTAAAATTTAGTCGTTTGAATTAAATGGAGCCACTGACAATCCGCGCATTCAGAAAATATTGATATTTGTTTCATTTTATTTATAAATACTTAACTGTAATGGAAAAATATTACCTCAAAATGCTGCATTTAGTAATGTAGAATTACGCATTTTGCTCGGTCATAAGAATTCATACTTATGAAAAATGTGACACACATCCAGGACTTAATTTCTAAAATTAGAACATGTTGCGTCCGTTGCACCGCAACAAACGACCGTTAGGAAAGGGAGAAAAATTTTAAAAATAACTAATAAAAGAATACAATAAATAATAATTAAAATAATTAAATTAAAATAAAAATTTAATGGCACAATTTCTGGAAAGTAATCAATAAAACTTTAATGCGTTACTAAATTAATGATAAATAGTTAAATAAAAAAATAAAATATTGGACCTCGTCTTACTTGGGGCTCCAGCAGGAGTTACAGTTTCATTGTAAAACTAAGAAATAGTTCAACCGGGCTTTGGATGAATTTAACGCCTGGATATACAGAATAATATACTACTTCACAGAATGATACAAACAAAGGCCATTCTTTTTCCAGCACACCAATAAAAAAGTTAAACTGATGAAGGTTTCACCTTTATTAAAAAGAAGAGAATGCTAGAAACAGTATGAGAGATGGGAAGAAACTGTAATGGATCTGTAAACTGTAACAGAACATAAAAAAAAAAAAAAAAAAAAAAAAAAAAAAAAAAAAAATTCTGAAGGATTTTGAGATTTTAAATTACGTCCAAAGTGCTGTTTTTTTAACGTTTTGTGTTGTTACCTTTATTTATTAAATATCATGTTCTTTGTACTTAAACCATAAAATTCAGTTCAATAGCAATGTCGCAAATAATTTTAAAATGAGCATATCTTTAGAATTTTCGATACACAGTTCCGCGCGCTGGAGATAAAAAAATTTTTTCCCCGTAGAGTATTGCCATTACTCGCTTTTAAATCGTAGAGTTTGTTACTCAAAAATTCGTTAAGGTTTTACAAAATATGAAACCGATAATAAAACAAATTCCAAATTTCAAATTTGGTCTTCCATATGCCCATATTCGTAAGAGGATTACGTCATTCAAAATTCGATGGCTCTATGGACCGTTGTTTTATCGCAATGCGAGAAATATACATACATTTATGCCGATTTTTCATTATTTAAATTTTCCAAATATAACACATGGCGATAATACTTTGTGGCAACAGTTTGAAAAGTGATTCGCCGCTTGTAGTGAATCGAACCAAAATCGTAAAACGAAAACAATAGTCCTTCAGAGACAAAGCTCCCTTGGACTAAAATATAGCAAATAACCAGGACT